GGATTTGACTTGCAGACAAGAGATAGCAGTGGAAGGGAGGCAAGGTCAGTGTGAGGGATAAATAGACCAAAGAAAGAATCCAGGCTGTCATCGTGAGAGGCATTCATTGAAAGAGCCTAAAAAGTCTGCAATCTGTCTGGAAGAGGAGTTTTAGTAAACATGAGGGTGAAAGGCACATCCTGAGTAACACCAGGTTAAATATCTTAGCTTTCTTGGCTTACGTTGCATGTTTTTAAAATTCTCCTAAGAGAAACTATTACTAGTAAAGAAGGTTTACAGAAGGGTGTTTCCCAGCTGGATGTCTCATTAAATATTCTTCTCCTCCAGGTCCACCTGGTCTGCCAGGCCCCCGTGGAGAGAGAGGCGAGCGTGGACTTCAGGGTCCTGAGGGACCCCAAGGGAGGGTGGGACTCCCAGGCAGAGAGGGCAAGCAGGGAGTAGCTGGACCCCCAGGTAAAGACAACAAACTTTGTCTTAGTTATATAATTACACTTTGTTTAATATAGTAACATTTACTGATTTACAAGATGTGTCTTGCATCTTTCATTCTTCACATCATTCACATGGATATTGTGATAAGAGTATAAAATAAACAGCAAGAGTGATATTGTTGGATGATTAACTCGCTGTTTTTATCTTTCATCTTACTTCTCAGGTCTCAGAGGTGAACAGGGTATGTGTTGTTCTTACTAAACTGCAGATCAAAGCACTCATATACTCTCTGATCTTTATTTCATTCTAACTCCTACTCTCCCTCTCTCCTCCGTAATCAGGTCCTGCAGGGTCTGATGCCCACGTGCCACGCCTTTCTTTCTCTGCAGCACTGACTCGCCCGATGAGAAGCGCAGGAACCATAGTGTTCAACGAGGTCTTGGTCAATGAAAATAACGTCTACGATGCCAAAACAGGTGAGTCCTGGATCGGCTGGAATTTAAACACATGCCTGCCAAGATCAGGGCTCTATTGTCACACCATTTCTTTTTTAATCACCTCAAAGAAAAAGTAGGTATTTGTGAGTTTAAAGGGTCAGTCCACTCAAATTATTACTGATTTGAGTTTGTTAGCTCAGGTTATGAGATGTATAAATTCAGTGGTAAATGGAATTTTGATTGTGACGGCATTGAAAAATAGAGTCCTGGCTATTCTAGATAATCCATAGGCTTTACTCTGAGCAGCTTTCATTTCAGATAGCATCTTCTATAGAAATAGTCTTTAGTAAGATCTTTGACAGTAAGGCTCGTGTTACCCTGTGTAACAGTGATTGACTTCATGACTGTAGCTAGCTAGCTAGCTAGCAATGTAGCAAGAGATAGCATTCTTGGTGTGATTGGAAATTCCACTCCACAGTAATAGTGTCGTTTCCATGTGTCGTTTCCACGCATTGACTTTTGCAATCCCCCCAGGTATTATTTAATTGATCTCCAATGTTCATTAAAGTTACTTATCAAACAAGAATACAAGCAAACTGGTGTCCATCATGAGATAAGGAAGTCTGAGCACTTCATGACACAGCAGATACACAACGTTAAGTCTTCCTTGTTATCTGCTTCCATTCTCCAGGTTTTTTCACAGCTCCCGTGAGTGGAAAGTACTTCTTCAGCGGCATTCTTACGGGCCATAAGAACATGAAGATCGAGGCTGTGTTGTCCAAGTCCAACACAGGTGTGGCCCGAATAGACTCGGCTGGATATCAGCCTGAAGCCCTGGAGAAGCCAATGGCGGAGGACAAACACATCCCTGGAGCTCTTGGTGTCTTCAACATCATCTTGCCTATGGAGGCAGGGGACACAGTCTGCATCGATCTCGTCACTGGCAAACTGGCCTACTCCTCTGAACCCTTGACCATCTTCAGTGGGATGCTGCTGTACGAGACCATCTGATTGGTTGTAGTTTCTTTGTAATTAGTCTCTCTGGGTGAAATGTTCAGCATGAGAGCATCTAATTTGTCTGCTGGACTGATTGAGAGACAGAGCCACTGACTGAAGTGTCAAAGAGACCGAAATAACTGGACTTCAGCAAGGATAAAAATACTTCATATTTTACTTAATGTGCTAAGAAGGAAGGAACAAAAACTTTTCAACTACAGTATTTTTTTATGTTTCACAGCTTTAAGGAAAACAATTTATGCAAAGATCAGTTGTGTTTTTTATTGTTTCCCTCAGAAAAAAGCAACTGTAGGGTTATCTCATAATTTCATACTTCATGCTGTGCTATAAACTTGAAATCTTTACTGATTATACAGACATAGACTTCAGGTCTCACTTGTGTTAATGAAAGGAAATTTGGTAAGATGACAAAAGATTAAGGATGTGGGTTTTTTGTGTGTAACCCACCCACAGCATATCAAATGTTCAGGGGTTAGTGATTCTAATGTAGTTTCTTTTCTTCATACTCACAGTTTCATTTTGACCACAAGCAAATTCCCAGAAACATTATTCTGAATACCGATTGTCTTGGATGCATGAGTGATTTGGGCGGAGGGACACGGTCCAAACCACTATTTTAAAGAAGGAAATGCACAAATGAAGTCACTGACAGTTCAGTCGAGAAACCACAGGATTTTATAAATCATACAGGCGCAAAACAATAAGACCATTTTAGGACATTAGCTATGCCCAGAAACAGGAGGGGAGGGAGAGGGTGGCCAGGGGGAAGAATGGGGATTTTCTTCCTCTGTCCTAATAAGGGCCATCTAAACGTGGTGGAGGATCAAGTATTTAAAGTTATGAAGCTGTTACTATCATCTATCTTACAGTGGAATTTTTATGTAAAGCTAACAATAACAAATAACAAAGCTCCACAATACAGTATGTCTCTTGGCTACAAATCTCTTTCATGAATACACACACTTCCTGACTTTAGAAGTCGAATTAAAATGTCTCCAGAAGAACATATGTGCATGATATCAAGTTGTAGATATTCTTGAATGGATTTTACAAGGAACATTGCACATGCTGAGACAATATAGCAGATTGGGCCACACATTGCATTATATTTACATTATGGTGGAAGTGATACATTCATTAATATAAACATATCAGGGTTTGCTCACAATGCATATTTGTTCACAATTCTTTTCCTAAATGTTCAGTGTGGGAGTGTTATTTTACATGTTGGTATGCATTGTATAACCTTGAAAGAATGTAAATAATTGTCAGCGTTTTGCCCTTGTAAGATTTTCTATGAGTTACCACTTGCCAGGTACTGTATATGTTTTTTATGTTTTTGCCACATGCGTGACTCAAATACAGATACCCATTTTTACACAGCCTATGTCAACAGTCTCACTTTTATCTGGATTGTGTTCCTTTATTAAATGAGCGAATACGTGCCCTTTTTTACACACTGTTTATTGCCTGCTTGGGACTACACTTATTTGATCTGGCACATTTTTGGCTTTCACAAATACACACAGCTGCGTTGACTTTTGTTTCTGGCTCCTACTTAAATCTCTCTCTTCTCTTTCTCTTGACTTCAGTAGGTTCAGTAGCAGCCTATTAGCTGAAGACTTCTAGAGATAGTTGAAAAAGTCTTATGCTGCACTGCAGTGACACCTTGTGTTCAGTATCATTACCTCATGGCTGTGATGTTGCTGCTGAAGAAATTTGAAGTCCCTTGAAGAAAAGAGTTGGCCCATGTTGGCCCAAACTCAGGGTCAGTACCCAAATGGGTCGCCGGCCCATTTTTATTGGGTCACCAATTGGCAGAATAAAATTCATAACAATGTTACAATATGTAAATATGTAAATGAGCTTCTTTTTGCTGCACTTGTCTATTCAGCTGGGAGGTTTTCTCTCTGTCTTCTCCCTAACCTGATCTTCTGTCCACATTCATACATAATTTTTATGTCTGTTGTCTGTGATCTATCATTGTTGATCCTATGATGTCTAAACTAAAGTGCAAGGACGAGTTTTTAGATGCTTGACTGTGTAATATGTAGGGAAATGCCCAGTAATGAGGGTTTTAAAATGAATAAATTAGAGCGGTATCTCCAAACAAAACATTCGCTGTATCTGGGAAAGTCCAAACTTTTTTTTTTCTTTGCAAAGAAGAATCCCTCAAGATGTGTTGATTCAATATAGCACAACATACTTGTGTGAATCTGGCTTTCGACTCTAGCAAACCTGAAAAAACAATTCAGAAACAGACTGAATGCTCAGCATGACCTCAGATTGGCACTTTCAAAAACAGAGCCCAGATCATTGGTGAGATAGGGGATGATGGGAGAGGATTAGAAAATGAGAGTAGGCCTAGAGAAAGGGGTGAAACACATAAAGGAGAATAGACCTTTGTTGTTTTTGTTTATTTTAAAAAGAAATATAATAAATTTTATACACATTGTTTGTTTTGCCCTTTATCCGTATTTTGTAAACCAAATTTCAGGTTACGGGTCATGAGCTGAAAAAGGTTGGTAACCAGTGGAGTAGGCTATCACTTGTCTTCCATTCTTTGCACTTTCAGATTTCTTTATAAGCCTCTCTGCACTCAGTAACAACCATTCCACTGTCACTCACACAAACAAGACGTAAACTGATCTAGGCACTGGCGTCTTAGGGCAAAGAACCGGTAATTCTCCCTAAGCTATTTGAGGAAGTAACAATGCATTATAAGATGGGATGAAGGTGTGTACACTGTGTTTATGCTGGTAATTTGTGTGGATGATTAGCAATCAATTTGTGGAAGCTAACAGTGGTCCAAGAATGTGTGCTGTCAGAAATTCCAGTTTGTGGATTGGTTTAAAATTAAAACACACAAGAAGGACACCTGAACGTTGCTGAAATGTGACGTTTAATGACAGTGTGTGTTACGTTATTTCCAGCTTTAGCAACATTGTTGCCATACATTCATGCCAATAAAGCTAATTTGAATTTGAAATTTTGTGTGGCTGACGTGAAGTAGGCTAAAGCCAGCCCCTATTAATATTTTTATTCAGTTTACTTTTGTTTCGTGTATTATTGTTGTTTAACGTTAGTTTAGATTTAAATTTACATTACAATAATGTAGCCTACATCTTTCCCCGCCGAAGTCGTATTTGGAGCCGTAAACCTCGCATTGCCGAGCTCGTCAGCAGCACTTGAAAGCAGCATCAGACACCAGCAAAACGTCCTTCCCGGCATTTTCACGCGTCCTGTTGCCATGGAGCTGACTTTGTTTTCTTCCACCGTTTTACACAAAGTGAAAGGTTGTGCTTTAAAATAAAGTAAGGACATTGTGGAGAAACTCGGGATAAGTGTGACTGTCCTCGTTGTCAAGACGTGACTGTTATGTGAACAACAAAGTTGAAGGACTTTTAAAGTTTTCCATCAAGGTAAGAAGCGCGTGCCAATCAAGCAAACACAGGGTGGCTAGCTAAGTTCATCCCTTTAACCTCAGTGTGGGTGATGACTAAAGGTTTATCAGTCCATTCTTTACACTGTTAAATGTTTTATTTATAGCGTTTTTGAGCCTCATTCAGGGTAATGTCTTGTTTTATATAAAAGTGCAACATTAAGTAAAGGATCAAAACTGGTCAAACAAGGTGCAAAGTAGATTTTATTAGTCACACTAAAAGTTACAACAGGTTGTAACCTTAGAGTGAAACTCAGTTTGTAACTCACTTCTGCTAACAGACAAGATACATTTATATAGAAATTACTAGGCCTAATTATAAAAATTTCATGGGATCAGTAAGTTAGCTAAAAGTTAGTAAATCTAAGTTAGCTTAACGTTACTTAAAGTGTGTTGATTGTTTTGGGGAAAAAATAATATTAACATACAGTGCTCAAACAAAGCAAAGCAGGTTTGCTGCACTGACTGCTCACTAACACAGGCTGTAGGTGTCATAACTAATAATATTTGCGCTTTGTGATTTCAACTATACAGTACTTAAGTAAAGCCTACCTAAAAAATGTAATTTCTGACTTTTGCTTTCACCCTTGCTCATTAGCACGTCTACCTGCATATTTGTAAGAAATCTCCCCTTTTCTTATTTTTCCACCAGCTCCTCTCTGTCCCCATAATGAGTGGCAGAGTAGCAGGGGGCCGCCTGCAGGTCCTTCAGATCTACCGCCTGCTGCAGTGCGTCCATGAAGGGGATAAGCTGCAGATAGAAAAGATGGTGAACCTTGGGGTGGAAAACCTCATCAATCTCACTGATCCACAAGAAGGCACAGGGGTGCTTCACGTGGCAGTTTCAGCCAACAATCAGGGTGATGAGGCTCTTCTTTATTCCATCAAATTATATACACTCTATTTAAGTGAACAAATGTTCTCCACTGGCCTGCTGTAGCAATTTGATCATTTTGAAAATAAGTCGCATATGGTGGTGGCCCACATTTGAGAGCAGTGTCTTTAGACAGTCAGTATGTTTACATAACTTAAATAATGTTAATATCCAGTTTATTGTAATGTAATTTGATTTAAGTGACCTCCAAAATCTGTGTTTTACATGAGTTGTTTCTTGGATTTTCTCGAGTGTTTTTGCAAGGCCTTATTATTACTGTACAGTAGCCTTAGGAATGTGTGGGAATTATAGAGTGCATATACACAGGACTACTGTCCAAACAGACTTTAACCCCTTAACGCCGATTATTGCAAATTTGCATCAAACCTCTTCCTGTCAGACTGCAGCTGAGATTGCATATGTGTTCCCCCAATGCCTGTTTGCACAAATTCAATACGTACCTGGGAACCTTTTGTAAGCACTGGTTTCTCGTTTATGCCTGTTGTCGCTAATTTGCATCATACCTAATTGATTTTTTATTTTTTATTGTAAATTCAGGCATCAAGGGGTTCAATTGGAAACCTAAGAGAAATCAAACAGGTCATAAAATGTACTGCAACCAAAAAAGTATTGTTTCAAAGTCACTTAATTTTCCTGACTGTTTCTCTACTCTACCTGACTCCTTATAGACCTGGTCATCTTCCTTCTCTCCCAGGGAGCACACCCTGACGTCCAGGACAAGAAGGGCCGCACCGCAGCCATGTTAGCTGCTGAGCTGGGCAATGATGCTATAGTGGCACTGCTGGCCCAGAGCCATGCCAACCTGAGGCTCCAAGACACTGAGGGAAAAGGTGAGCAGTAGCAGTTTTACCATATTGCATGCTTTAAATTGCAGGGACGGGAACAACACAAAATCTGCATAGAAATGACAGACTACTACAGGTCAGTTCCATTTTGTAACACCATTAACAGAAATCTAAAATGGAAAACTAAAAGAGACAATTATGTGAATGAAATAGTTTACTGACTTAAATATAAAAACAAGATTATATAGAAACAGTTATAGGAATTTATTAAAAAGGAATGTTTTAAAAACATCCCAGAAAATTCCCATTTTTGGTAATCAGACAAGACAAATATTTTTAATCGATAAGTAAAACTCTTTTATAATGCGCAAGAATATATCTATAGAGTAGTAATATTAATCATTTATATGGCTTTAATCATGAGAGGTAACAGTTTCCATTCCATTAATGTAGTATCATTTGAGCTTGAAGTGTTGATTTCTCAAATAGTGGTGTTTTCCATCTCAAGTTAGACCAGCAGGTTCGTTCTGAATGCCTTACCTTGTTTTACAACTCATGAAAATGCATGGTGCTTCTGTTTAGATATTGATGAGGAAATGATATCCCGGACAACTCCAATCAGCAAGCCAAAGTTCTTCTTCAGGACCTTTTTAAACTAATTGTGATAATGACCCTAATTACTGTGTGTCTGGGGGATCAGTTACTGCAAATTGTGCTCTTTTGAGAGTAAGTGAATGAGAAAGGGAAGAAGGAAGAAAGAGCTAAAGTGTGTGTGCTTTTATGTAATGTATGTACTGTATGTTGTATGTGTATGTAGCACATGATAGTGTGTATGTGTGTCAGGCCGTGTGAGTACATCTAATTACAGATCAACCACTAAGGGTGATCCTCTCCTGTGAAACATGCTGAGTAACCTGATATCATCCTGCGCTCCCAAGGCTGATTCGGCCCAGTCTCAGCACTCACAGCCAAGCCTTTTCCCCAGTAGGCTGAGTGTCAATAGTCACACATTTGCTTGTGTTATCCTCAGTGTTATAAAGGCAGGCTGGGCGGGGAAAGAGCAGCAATTTTCCCTCTCTTATTACCGTGACTGAAGTGCCATTTTGCAAAACCTTCCGCCCCAAGTGCTCCAGTGTAGCTGATCTGTGGCCGACAGTTCAGACTGTGGTTGTACTTGGCAGCTTCTAGGTGTGAATGTATGTAAAAAGAAAGAGGAAGGAAAAGAAAACATTGCTGCCAGCTAAACGTGTGTATCAACACATGAAGTTAAGCTTAACTTTTGTCCCTCCTCTAACTTTAGGTGTGCTGTTCTACTGTATCTACCCCACCAAGCGCCACACCCGCTGCCTGCAGGTGGCACTGAAGTGCCATGCAGATGTCAACAATGTGTCAGCGCAGGGGACTCATGTCTTCCAGTTGATGTGTGAAAAAGCCCAGGAGTGCACCTTGATGTGTCTCATCATGCTGGATGCAGGGGCAGACCCCAATGCAACAAATCAGGTAAAAATTGGATGGGGGGACTACTAACAGTGAGATATTATGGGAACTGAGGCAGTGGCATGGAGTATGTTGTAACTGACAGCTTATCCTTTGAGTACACAACATAGTGATGTTGAAATTTCTGCAGCTGAGATGCTGTTGATGCAGTTTGTTTAAACTAAGATTTACTCCTCTTATCTCTCTCCTCAGAATACAGGCGTCACAGCTCTGATGGAGGCTGCTAAGGCAGGCTCCCTGCAGCTTGTTAAAACCATTCTCAGGAAAGGGGGAAACCCTAACGCCCTGGACCGAAAACGCCTCACAGCAGTACACTATGCTGCCATGGGAGGCTTTTTTGAGGTGTAGGATCTGCTCACTCAGTGTCACTTTTTCACTATTAAAAAGATGAGTAAATAATATGAAGCTGTAGTGAAAATAAAGCGGAAGAGCTGTTAGCAGAATTTAAGGTCTGAGCCCCTCATTTGATTTTCTCCCTACATCAGCTACAGTGGGATTTTAGGATTCAGTAATGTGTTGCTCTGTGGTGTTTTGTTTCTTACAGGTGATTCAGGTGCTGTCTGCATACTCAGCAGACATGGGAGTGATCAACCTAGAGGACTGCACACCCCTACACTACGCTGCTGTCACGGGCAATGCTAACTGCTGCAAGTTCTTGGCTCAGAGAGGTGCTGCTAGAGAGTCTCACAATAATATCCTGCACTGAATTTCAACTTTTTTCGTTTTCAAAAAAAGGCAAAGATAGCTTTGCGGTAACTACTCCTAATGCCATATGTTTATATTGTTCCTAAAAAGAAAACTGTTCTCTTTGTTCAGGTTGTAATCCCAAGCTCAAGAACCAGGAAGGTTTACTCCCACGTCAGATTGCCAAAGACACGTGTCACAAAGCAGCAGCCAAGGAGCTGAAGAAAGCAGAGAGGCAACAGGGAAAAGGCCAAAAATCCACAGATGGCAGCCTCATGTCAGATCTTTGGGCCGTGACCCTCCACGACTGGTCTTATGAGTATGAGACTGAATTACGGCAAGCCTTTGGGGACAAATCAGACACAGTTACAACCGAAAAGTTTATTTCAGTGTTAGAAGAACTGAAAGCTCCAGTTGAACTAGACCAACTCCATACAGTCATCTCAGCCCATGACAAGGGGAAAGAGGGATGTGTCAACATTAATGATTTCCTCAAAGGTGTCAAGTATATCAAGAAACCTTTCCTCCTCTCCTCTTATATGCCTAAAAAGAAAAAGGGAGAAAAGGGAGGAAAAGGAGCTAAGAAGGGTAAATTTGTCCTCCCCCTGCCCATTTGCACTCTCCCACCGGAGCTTATGCCTCGGCGACCAGACGGAGGCCCGCCCCACTTCATGATCGAAACATACTACAACTGCTCAGACATCCGGCGATTTGACCACGATCACCCGCCAGAACATCCCATAATGAATGACTCAGGATGGTACATGGAAAAGCCAGATAAGGTCTACATCAATATCAACTACTGTGTGAAAAGTGGGGACCTGGAGTCTCTGGACCTTGCTTTCAGTCAAGGGGTTCCTGTGGATGTTAAAGATCAGTTTTACAAGACCCCACTGATGGTGGCCTGCTCCAGTGGAAACTACGAGGTGGCTCAGTATCTCCTCAGTCGAGGGTGAGAAAGATCTTTTCTTTTTTGTTTTGTGCTTTGGAAACAAAGATTTCACAGACTTGCTTTTTAGTTACATTTGCGAAGATTTAAGTGAAACAGATTAATAATACTGTCAATTTGAAGCAGTTATTTTAATAATAACATTGTGCCAAAGGACAATGTGAAAACACTGTGGAAGGGGGGCTCGTAGTGAAGAACTTACAGAGAATGATCACCTGAATCTGCAGCTCCCCTCAGATATAATAATAATAATACATTTTATTTCTAACGCACTTTTCATCAAAAGAACGGGTTGTGTTTTGTGGGTTGATAAGGGGGCATGTCCATGGATGCATTGATGTGTGAGGAGTGAAACCTTGTACTCAATCCTGGTGGAGATGGGAAGCCAGTGGAGTGAGTGGAGAATGGGGGTAATGTGCTCATGTTTCCGCACTCTCATCAGGATCCTAGCTGCAGAGTTTTGAATGTACTGAAGCCTCTGCAGACTCCCAATGAGAAGTGCGTTACAGTAGTCCAGTCTGGAGGAGACAAAGGCATGAACAAGCTTTTTGGCATCTGGGAGGGAAAGAATGGGACGGAGTTTGGAGATGTTATGGAGGTGGTAGAAAGAGGTCTTGCATAGGTGATTTATATGGACTTCAAAAGTGAGTTGGGAGTCCATTTTTACGCCAAGATTAGTGACTGTTGATGAGAGGGGATGTTGGTGCCAGAAAAGGTGATGCTAGTTATGGATGATGATTTGGTCTGGTGAGGAGTTCCAACCAGGATGGCTTTGGTTTTGAAGCTATTGAGTTGAAGGAGGTTTTGCTCCATACATACATTTATCTCCTCCAGACAGGTGATGAGCTTTGATGGGGATGACTGTGAGGGTGGGGTTTCAGCTGTGGAATTTCCATAGAGCTGTATGTCATCGGCATAGCAGTGGAATGAAATTTTGTGACGGCTGATAATTTGGCCAAGGAGGGTAAGGTAGAGAATGAAGAGGATGGGGCCAAGGCCTGACCCCTGGGGGACACCACAAGTAACTGTGTGTGGATTTGATTTGGAGTGGCCCAGGGAGATGTATTCTGTCCGGTTTGTGAGGTATGATCTGAACCAACTGAGGGCAGTGTCATTTAGTCCATTAGTGAGGTGGAGCCGTGGTCGACAGTATCAAATGCAGCAGAAAGGTCAAGGAGGATGAGGAGGGATGGAGAGGCAGAATCGGATTATATGAGGAGGTCGTTTGTGACTCTGACTAGGGCAGTCTCTGTGGGCAGAGCAGAAACCTGACTGGAATTTTTCCAAGAGGTTATTATGTTGGAGGTGGTCCTGAAGGTGGGTACCAGATATTGCTGGTTTAAAGATATAATCTATAAATTTCAGTCTTAAGTTGATTTTGTGACACCCGTGGTTACTGGTGGTTTAATACTACATGCCCCATAATTCTGGGGCCAGCAAACAGTAGCTACTTTGTCACTAAAACAACAGAAGAGCAACTGGTTTATCAGCCAAACAAAAAAATGCTGAAAATTACAATGTCCTGTTTTGTGAACCCACTGTTGATGAACAGTCACAGTCATTGCTAACCTCAGTGACAAACACATGTTGTTTCCTATGACTGCTTCACAATAAAAGCCAACTGTGTTTCAGTTTAAAGCTTTTAATATGAAGTAGCAGCAGTAGGAGTTATGAAGTTATGTTTTCAATGGCAGTAATACAGCTCTGACAAAGATCAGATTTAATGTCCATGTAAAACCAGACCAATGCCCTGATCAGGGACTCTTTAAACACACCATAAAAACCCTGTTCCTGACAGGGCTGATGTAAATGTGTGTGACCAGTTCTTCTGGACACCTCTCCACCATGCTGCTCGCGCTGGCCAAGTGGAACTTCTTGAACTTCTGGTGGAGGCCGGGGCCACCATAGATGCCCGAGCCCTCAGTGGAGGTACACCCCTCATGAGGGCCATCGAGAGCTCTCGACCCTCCTGTGTGGACTTCCTCATCAAGGCCGGTGCCAGTGTTAATGCAGAGAACAAGAAAGGTTTGACTGTACATCTGAAATGTATAGAAGTTCATTTGAATACTAATGTTGAAATAAAATTAATTTGGAATAGGTTTTGATGTATGCTAGAAACAGATATAAACAAATAGAAATATAACTGAATTGAATTTCATAAAAGAAACACAGGAAATAGGAGCCGTTGGATTTGATTAAGTGCACTCTATGAATAATAAATAATAAGTGTTCAACTTTCAGGTTTTTAAAAAAATATTTGTTTCTTGAACTGTCCTTAGAGACAAATTTACCAACAAATACACTTGAGTTATTGTGGCAAGCTGTCTCACTTTGATGTAAATGTTCGGGTTAGTGATTCTAATCAGTTCTAAATTTAGTGGATATCAGAGTCCACTAACAGTCCATTCTGTGAGTGCGCTGAAAAAGAATCTGGTGTTTGTACTCTTTCCTGGTTCTGCAAAAAGGGATACAAAGTGGCCTGCACCCCGCCACACAACACTATTCCAGCAGTTACAGCCATGATTTGTGTGTCAAGTAACGTTTAATGACCTGCCCACGATACACTCAGCTCACTTTCTAGTTTGTCAAGACATGGCTGTTGTTGTGATGTTAGCTATAGTAGCAGGAGAGTTGTAAGTATTGCTGTTTGGAGCTGCTGTGCTGCCTCTGGGACCGTCTTGTCCTAACTGCATGCTGTTGCTGCACGTTTGCTAACCCACAACTTAGCTAATGTTAGTTACATTACTGGCACTTGCTGTAGGACTTCTCCGTAATTGCTTACCCCATTTTTAACATGTGACTTCTACTGCCTGATTGACCAATATTTTATTTTCCTTCAGAACAAAACTGCCTCGACATTGCCAGAGCTTTTGCAGACTCAAGGATAATTGACTTGGTCAAAGACAAGATGGATTCTCTGCCTAAACTAAAGGAGACAGTGAAGGGAAAGGGGGCCAAAGGTCAAAAGCCAAAACCTTCAAAGGTATCTAAGTAACCCCATTAAAATCTTTTTACTAGCCCGATATAAACATATTAAAATCTTGTGGCTTCAAACATTTCCTGTTTTCTTTGTAATGAATCTGTTCTTTTCACTTTTCACTGTCCATAAAACCAATCGCTTCTCTCAAGTCATGAACTTAACAACGTAATTTGCTGCAGATATAGAGAGAAATACATAGATTTACAGAATTTACAGCACAGAATGTGTCCTTTAGGTGCTTTCAGCTGGCACCTTGGTGTCTGGCTACCACGATTCTACCAGGTCCATCCATACCACAGGCTGCTGCTAATCACACTTTAAAGCTGATGTTGCTCCAAGCCAAGGTCAAATGGGACAATGGAGAGCCGAGGCAGAGAAAACGTGAAACCATCATGAACTCTGATAGCAGCCACCAATAGTTATGCACGTTCAGCAGAGTGGCAGTTGCCGTCCCTCTCCCTGCTGCTGCCTTGTTTTCAGTGTAACCACAGTGGTAGCCAGTATCTGTCTGAACACACCTTAAATGTTGTTAAAGTAAAATTATTACCAACTTTAGACTAGAGGTAATCTCCTACCCTGGTTTTCATCTGTGTACTCCAGCTTCTTCTTTCAGCATGAGAAACCTAAGCTGGTAAAGAGATCTCATTACTGTAAGACAGCAACTTGTAAGCAAATTAGACCTGATGTGTTATGTTACAGCTAGAAAATGCTGGTGCTTAAATTTGCATTTCCTATAATCAGGCAAAACATCTGACAAAATGTATTGATTTTGTTATTAGAACTCTGAAAGTAGCAGGTGGTGCAATATAGCTTCAAGCAGAAATTCTGGGGGGCAAGAAACAAATCCATCACACAGAATAATTTCCACACAGGTACAATTTTGCGTTATGGCATTTTTTATCAGACTTGCAGAAATTTGTTCACTACTATAAGAAACTGATGAGCCTATTAAACTTTCATCCACTGTGACTTATGAGCAAGCCAATCATTTTAAATAATGCATGCACTCTCTCAAGTCAAAGTACATGCTTCTTATTGCAGTGTAATACCCACTTATGGCTTTGAGCCTGTGATCCTGGTAAACATATCACATTTTAGATGTTGGATAATGGTCCTAAAACAAATCCATGTGCCAGTATTTACTCAAAGTCATAGCGCCACCTACTGGCAACAGGATGTGTCAAGTTTTATTGATATTGTTATTGATAATTGATATTGCTATGTTGTGAAACTTGGGAGTTTATGCTTAACGTCGTGTCCACGGCGCAAGTTCGATGCTTGGCCATTAAACAGGAAATTGTTTCAACCTTAGTGTACATGCTCATATCTGTAACAAACTTCCCATGTTTGATAAGGGTCACACCCTGAACACATGCCAATAATCACACAATGTCATAACACTGCCTACTGACCACAGGAAGTAATCCCTTTGTGACAAAAATCATTTCATGTAGATGACATTTTCACAGTGTGGTCCACACTTCACGCACTGGTACAAAACATATAATTAGTGCATGTTGTCTAGCTCCACTTAGGGAACACAGGAAGTGACATTTAAATCGCGAACATCGTGACCAGTCCAACACCCACGCGCGTCACGGCGTGAGGCAGACAGTGCTTGCAGCTTTATTTTTGTGATTTTTGGTCTACTTTACAAAGTCCTTGCTGCTACATTGATTTACATGTCATGTCATGCCAAATTCTAATCAAAAGTTAACCAAACTTTACTTCATGGCTTAAAGGTCATAATGATGGCCATATGAATCAGCTGATATTGACAACCGCAGTATTCAGTGAAGACATCTTGACCAAAAGAATTTGAAATGATTGAGACATGCAAGAGAAGCTTAATGTGAGTGGGACTGTGAAGATGGAACATAGAGAGCGATAGAGAGATTGTTGTATTGACTCCAAAATTTGAACCCGAATTTCTTGGCCTGACCTCTGTTATTATATTTGATTAAGAAATAATGTATGAAATAAATTGTCCTTATGTACTTTAAATATAGCTTTGGCAATATTGTTGCTATACATTCATGCCAATAAAGCTAATTTGAATTTAAATTTGAAATAGGTTCAGTGGTCTTCCGCAAAAATAGAAAGGCACCTTCAGACCTTAAAAATATAAACATGTACCTTACTGTGAGTAGATGTTTGTGGCTCCAAGATTTATTTCAAAAGGGCATGGCCGAAACATAGTTTAAGTTGATGTAAAGCACCTGCAACCAGGCCCAGATAATATCATTTAACTGCAGAGGCATAGGACCTTCAATGGTAGTCCAACCTGAACCAGATACTGGACAGGCAAGAGAGATGTGCTGTGTGTAGATCTGGATGTGCACCAACCAAAAGCAAGAAAAGTAATAACTGTTGGCACAACTGTTTTTTTTTTGTAGCTTGTGTTTGTGTGTAAAGAGTTTAACATTGTACATTTGTAGTAAGTTATTTTAGAGAGAGGAGACAATTAGCACATATGCCCACTTATAGTCAATTGTCTGAAAAAGCTAAATCTTCTGCCTAGCTGATCATTATTTACCTTTATGACTATCCCCCAAGATTCTAATTGACCTGCTATCTCTGAGTTTTATTTTGAAATCACAATTGCCCTTTTGTTGGTGCTCGTCATGGTCTTAAATAATGAGCATTGCTGTAAAGTGATTCCATGTTCTCTGTGTAACAGGTGCAATTTCTGCTTGGACCTCACATCCCCCTCTCTATCTGCCATGATTTATTAAAAAATATGAAAGGTTATAGTTTTAATCATCAAACGGACAAATCTTACCTGCAAATATTAAGACCTACTTTTGTGTATTGTCTCTTGCTGTCTTGATGCAGCCAAACCTTTCAAGCCCTGTTCAGTACTCTCTCTCTCTCACTGACCTGAATCTGACACATGGAGACCTTTGATTGTAGCTACTGCACAGAGTACTTAGATAAAATAAGGCAAATATGAAAATTCTTGTGTCCCCTACAGGTCATTGCTGCAGAAGGTATAGTGCATGCAGAGACATCAAGTACAACAGCAGGAAAGATTCCTCTGGAGGATTCAAAGAGCATCATCCTGCAAAACACCAGAATCACTACAGGGAAATCCAACACTGTGGACATCACCATTGTGCCAAAAACGGTAGGCTCGTCACCATTTGCTGTAGGTTGCCTCAATATACTGTACCATCTACTTGCTTAGCACAAGTAATTACTTCCTGTCTTAACAAGCCATTGCAAATATCCTATAAACTGCCTGTGAAATACATTTTGACCAATCTTGATATGTTTTGTTATTTAGAACTTTTTGCTCCTGCATATGCTATGCAAAAAGTTACATTTCCCAATATAAACATGTTCTAGTCCAGAAACACTTGAGTGCTTTCATAATTGTAATTTAGCAACCAGAAGCTTCTGATTAGCATTTGAACCAAGGTAAATTCATGTACATTTTAAAACTTAAACTTAATCTAAAAGCAGTGGAGTTATGGTAACTCTGGTACATAATTGCACACAGTTCTCTTTTTTGCAGTGCCTGTCAGTAACTTCTTGTGACTTGTCTGTCTGTCTTAGGTTTGGGGGAAGCCGCCCACCACCAGCCAGCTGATGTCAAAGATAGAGAGACGAAAAGAGCTCTTATCCCTCGAGGTGGACTTTGACGACTTCATGATGCCTTTCAGCCATAACATCTAGAGGACAACACTGCAGCTGGCAAAAACAACAGACTAAACAGAAAGGAGGTTAGGCAGAGAAAGACTATTTGGAATTATAGTCTTTTACCTGAGCTGGCTGGCCACCTGTACCAATTAAGGACGTTGGATTTATTTTTGATTAATCTATTTTCATTACAGCTGCAACAACATAGTTTGACATCATGATATGAAATCTGTCTTCTTTTTTTTTTCAGAACTTGCAAGGTAAATCTCAAGACATAGTCAGAAATTATCAGAAGGATAGTACACATATAATGTAATCCCGCTAATTTACCAAGCGTATAATCTACTTTTATTAATAATTTATTCATTTAGCTTTGAAAAAAAAATAAAAATCAAACCTACTTTTATTAATAATCAAAAAAAATCTTCTTCAAGATATTTCTAGGTACAAACCATTCTGTACTGTATATCCACAATGCTCAGCAAGGACCGTTTGTGTCTAAGAAGCTTACAGATATATATTTGTCAAAACACTGGAACATGCACAGAATATAAAGATTTTGTTCATAAATACAGAATTGTCTACTGTACTTACTCTGCTTTCAGCCTAGTTCAAACCCAGAATCATTTTGCTGTCTAAAATCCCATGGCCCTGAAAGTTAAAGGATAGTTTCACAGTTTTTCAAGTCTGTAGTCATTCATTCATACTAGTCAGAGAGAATCATGGACTAAAAAGACTAAATTTGGACGATACTTAACTTGACAAACTCAGACTGTATAAGTTCAGATTAACTTTGGTATTCACTTTTGCAAGGAACAAGGACTGTAGATTTAGTTGTGTTTATCACTTACATTGGAAGCACATCAGGAAGGGACCTCTTAATGGCCAGGATGAATGCTTAGTGCAAGCAAAACCTGTTACAATGTTTATATCGGCACCTGACCATTGTTTTAAGACAGACTTGAAAAGTTGTGTACCGGTCCTTTAAATATCCTTATGGGTCAACTGAAGTAGGCATTATTCACATAACATTTGCTCACCGTATCTGAGTCAAATGATCCAAGTAGTTAATAGGCCCAGTTGGATGGATATCATATTAAATATCCAAAGATGACTATTAGTGTTACAGCCTGTGACTAAATTAAAACTGGGAGTAGTGGACAGGGTCAAACTATACTGTAGGTACATACTGCAGTTAGGAAGATGCTTTAAATCATTCCCTGACTCTGAGATTGAAGAGTCTGTTAGAAGTGGCAGGAGGATAGGACAGAGCCTCATATGGTGGCTCATATAACGGATAACTGATTCTTTATTTTCTTTTTGCATCTTTTTTCCTTCTTTCCTTGCAGCCTCTCTTCCTTGCATTCTTTTCTTACCTCTTCCATCCTTTCTTCTTTTTACACACTTTATTACTGTATGTACACACATCTATACATAGATCCAAACATGCTCTCACATACAGTATGTAGAAGACACGTGTCTGATTGATCACTTTATGTAATCCAGCTTGCTTTCTGGAACATTCTTCATAGTGTGTTAAATGTGCACTTGGACATGTACTTCAGTTACACAAATAAACTTAATTAATCATGAAATGATTAACTTTTTAGTTATGCAGACATGGACTGAGTGCTGTTGTATTTGATTCCACTACTGGTTGTCCTTCATGTTGCTGAAACTAACTGCAAAACATCAAGCTGCTGGCAGAAAATAACTGCTCTCCAGCCAGATGCAGTTCCATGTTAAAACCAGCGAATGGCGCTGTTTGGCAAATTTAGCAATGCAGGGGTTTGGTTGTTTATTAAGCTGGGAGAACAGAAAACTTGAAGGGAGCTCTTGTGTTTCTAGCACAGAAAGACATCAAAATGGCAGCCGTGTGTTTACTGTTCTCATGTTAGCTACTCAAACTGCTTTACAACATTACAATATCTGCTTTTCACATGCAGTATTAATGAAAAGGGGATATCATTATAAGATGGTTATAATTCACCCAAATCCTCCATGTTTTGTCTTTGCCTTGATGCTCTGATTACATGATTGGTTTCAAGGAGGCTGAACATTTTTTGGATCATATTTTACTTGCTGATGTTCATTGTTCGGGAATCACATCTTTTTCTGTGTTAAATGACGCATTGATGCACACTCCCATCATCATCACCACCACCACCATCACCAGATAAAATTAGATCGCAGTGTCCTCAAGGTCCATGGGGACACAGTTATATAATCAAATATACGGGCAGAGGGGGGCGGGGGATAATGGCATTGAGGTTTGTAAGAAAGGGCCCAGATTGTTTAAATATACATAGTCACAATACCACTGATGA